TTGACATGCTGTTTGACACTTGCATTTTTGTCAAGTGTCAATTGGATGGGAAAACGGCTTAAAATTTAAAAAATCTAACAGAGTAATGTCATGTGGAAAAGTGTAAACTAAATTGTACACCATAGTGTACGTGTAGCACGGTTCTTAACAAATGAACTTTGCTATTTGTACACTGATTTTTGACACGTTGTTATATGCTTGCATTATTGTCAAGTGTCAATTGAATGGTAAAACTGTTTGAAATGTAAACAATCAAACAGGGTGATATCACATGGTAAAGTGTAAACTAAATTGTACACCATAGTGTACGTGTAGCAAGGTCCTTATCGATTGAACTTTTCTATTTGTACACTAATTTTTGACATGTCGTTTGATACTTGCATTGTTGTCAAGTGTCAATTGGACAGGAAAACTGATTGAAATTGAAATTGTCCAACAGGCTAATGTCACGTGGCAAAGTGTAAAGTAAAGTGTACACCATAGTGTACATGTAGCAAGTTTCTAACCGATTGAACTTTGCTATTTCTACACTAATTTTTGACACGTTGTTTGACACTTGCAATGTTATCAAGTGTTAATTGGATGGGAAAGCTGTTTGAAATTTAAACTGTGCAGTAGGGTAATGTTACTTGGCAAAGTGTAAACTAAAGTGTACACCATAGTGTACATGTAGCATGTTTCTTACTGATTGAACTTTGCTATTTGTACACTGATTTTTGACACGTTGTTTGACACTTGCATTGATGTCAGGTGTCAATTGGATGGAAAACCTATTTGAAATTTGAAATGTCCAGTAGTGCAATGTCATGTGGCGAAGTGTAAACTAAACTGTAAACCATACTGTACATGTCGCGGGGTTCATATCGATTGAACTATGCTATTTGTACACTAATTTTTGACACGTTGCTTGACACTTGCATTGTTGTCAAGTACTTGCATTATTGTTAAGTGTCAATCGGATGGGAAAACTGTTTGAAATTTAAACTGTCCAGTAGGGTAATGTCATGTGGCAAATTTTAAACTAAAGTGTACACCATAGTGTACATGTCGTAGGGACCTTACCGATTGAACTTTGCTATTCGTACGCTGATTTTTGACAAGTTGTTTGATGGAAAAACTGTTTGAAATTTAAACTGTCCAACAGGGTAATGTCACTTGGCAAAGTGTAAACTAAAGTGTACACCGTAGTGTACATGTCATAAGGTCCTTACCAATTGAACTTTGCTATTTGTACAATGATTTTTGACACGTTGTTTGACACATGCATTGTTGTCAATTGTCAATTGGATAGGAAAATTGTTTGAAATTTAAATTATCCAACAGGGTAATGCCACATGAAAAAGTGTAAACTAAAGTGAACACCATAGTGTACATGTATCAAGGTCCTTATCGATTGAACTTTACTATTTGTACACTGGTTTTTGACACGTTGTTTGATACTTGCATTGTTGTCAAGTGTCAATTGGATGAGAAAACTGTTTGAAATTTAAACTATCCAAAAGGGTAATGTCACATGGCAAAGTGTAAACTAAAGTGTACACCGTAGTGTACATGTAGCATTTTTCTTATCAATTGAACTTTGCTATTTGTACACTGATTTTTGACACGTTGGTTGACACTTGTAATGTTATCAAGTGTCAATTGGATGGGAAAATTGTTTGAAATTTAAACTGTCCAATAGGGTAATGTCACGTGGTAAAGTGTAAACTAAAGTGTAAAACATAGTGTACATAAAGCAAGTTTCTAACCGATTGAACTTTGCTATTTCTACACTAATTTTTGACACGTTGTTTGACACTTGCATTGTTGTCAAGTGTCAACTGGATGGGAAAACTATTTGAAATTTAAACTGTCCAATAGGGTAATATCATGTGGAAAAGTGTACACCATAGTCTACATATAGCAAGGTCCTTACCGATTGAACTTTGCTATTAGTGCACTGATTTTTGACACGTTGTTTGACACTTGCATTGTTGTGAAGTGTTAATTGGATGGAAAAACTGTTTGAAATTTAAACTGTCGAACAAGGGAATGTCACTTGGCAATGTGTACACTATGATTTACACCATAGTGTACATGTAGCATGATTCTTACCGATTGAACTTTGCTATTTGAACACTGATTTTTGACACGTTATTTGACATTTGAATTGTTGTCAAGTGTCAATTGGATGGAAAAAATGTTTGAAATTTAAACTGTCCAACAGCGTAATGTCACATGGTAAAGTGTAAACGAAAGTGTACTTGTAGCAAAGTTCATACCAATTGAACTTTGCTAATTGTACACTAATTTTTGACACGTTGTTTGACACTTGCATTGTTTTCAAGTGTCAATTGGATGAAAAAAATTGGTTAAAATTTAAACTGTCCAACAAGGTAATGTTATATGATAAAGTGTAAACTAATGTGTACATGTAGCAAGGTTCATACCGATTGAACTTTGCTATTTGTACACTGATTTTTGACACGTTATTTGACATTTGCATTGTTGTCAAGTGTCAATTGGATGAAAAATTGTTTGAAATTTAAACTGTCCAATAGGGTACTATCACGTGGTAAAGTGTACACCATAGTGTGCAAGTCACAAGGTTCTTACCGATTAAACTTTGCTATTTGTACACTGAGTTTTGACACGTTGTTTGACACTTACATTGTTGTCAAGTGTCAATTGGATGGGAAAACTATTTGAAATTTAAACTGTACAACAGAGTAATGTCACGTGGCAAAGTGTAAACTAAACTATACACCATAGTGTACATGTAGCAAGTTTCTTACTGATTGAACTTTGCTATTTGTACACTGATTTTTGACATGTTGTTTGACACTTACATTGTTGACAAGTCTCAATTGGATAGGTAGACTATTTGAAATTAAACAGTCCAACAGGGTAATGTCACGTGGCAAAGTGTAAACTAAATTGTACACCATAGTGTATGTGTAGCATGGTTCTTACCAATTGAACTTTGCTATTTGTACACTGATTTTTGACACGTTGTTAGACACTTGCATTGTTGTCAAGTGTCAATTGGAAGGTAAAACTATTTGAAATTTAAATTGTCTAACAGGGTAATGTCACGTGGTAAAGTGTAAACTAAATTATACACCATAGTGTACGTGTAGCAAGGTCCTTATCGATTGAACTTTGCTATTTGTACACTGATTTTTGACACATCCTTTGACACTTACATTGTTGTCGAATGTTAATTAGGTGGGAAAATTGATTGAAATTTAAACTGTCCAACAGGGTAATGTCACGTGGCAAAGTGTAAAGTAAAGTGTACACCATAGTGTACAGGTGGCAAGTTTCTAACCGATTGAAGTTTACTATTTCTACACTGATTTTTGACACGTTGTTTGGATTTGCATTGTTGTCAAGTGTAAATTGGATGGGAAAATTGTTTGAAATTTAAACTATCCAAAAGGGTAATGTCACGTGATAAAGTGTAAACTAAAGTGTACACCATAGTGTATATGTTAAAGCCTCCATTGCCCGAGTCTTGAGCACAGTGTCCAACTGGAAGGCCTAGTGAAGGATTTGAGGGCTAAAACGTTGACTTGGCACAAAGATTAGAGAAGGCCTTATACTACGGGGATGAGGTGAGGGTAGCTCGGGCCAAAGCAGAAGAGGTCAAGAAGAATAAAGTGGAGCATAGACACATGTGGTGAAAACTGAGACCGCGTCGGAGCAATTAACAAGGAAAAGGTGAGATCACCTCGTCATGGAGGCTTTAGATGCCTCCAACAAGGAAAAGGCTGAGCTGAGGCAGTGGGTGAAGGCCCATGTTGAACAGATCGAATCCCTTAAAGAAAAGGTGAAAGATGTTGGGGATTCAGCCGTGCAACATGTCATTGACCACTTTGAAGAGCACGAGTTGTACGACACTTTTGCTAACTATTGGACCTCATGGAATGCCCAAGCTATATTGCAGTGCCTCAGGGAACCTGGACATTTCAACTCTAGAGGAAGAGTTTGGTGGGCCTATTGGAGGTCATCTTGACATTGCGGCTGCCGAAGGGGCTACAGCGGCTCCCGATGAAATAGAGAAATGGGAGGGGGCCATAGTACCAGTAGAGTAGGACTATATATTGTAATGGCTTCGGCCCACTTCTTGTAATCCTCCTAATAATGAAATGAAATATTTTTTCAAGTGTTATAACTTCTTCCATTCATGATTGAACTATCTACTGCATTATTGTGTAGATATTGCAAGTTCATAAACGCTACTAATCACCAATCAGTAGCATGAGCACTATCCAACGAGTAGAATACTAATGAGATGAGCTTCCATTAATAATTTAAACTTAACATTATCATAAACTAAGGAAGTGTCACTATCAGCACTTAGTTAGATAGGAATGAGTTGCCCTAATGTTTCCAGGCACTGTTTAATGTGACATTCGCTACCAAACCGACAATTAAGATTAAAATCATCCCCAAGAAAGCCAAAGCAAGGTTTTAGATCAAATTCAATAAATTTGGAACCAAGCAACCCGAATCGTCGACGATGTGCGGACCTCTTGATTATGCCAAAATATGTGAATCTCACCCATTAATTGGAACGCCAGAAGATTTAAATCTTGATAAGTTCGTAGATTGTCCAATTGAAGAACACAGGAAGAAAGCAATAAAAGTCTCTCAATAATAATAATGTCAAAAGTTCTAATACAATGAACAATAATGAGTATCCATACTAAAACCATAAGACATGGTAAAAACGTGCATAATCTCCAAAATATGCTAAAATTATGGAAATAAATAAATTCTATCAAAAAAAGAAAAAATCGCAAAATTTGGAAAAATCCTCCTTGAAATACACCCATGTGGTCCCATGGTTCAATTCCATGCAGCCGTATAGAACAACCAAGTTCAGCCAGTTGAGACCCTGTTCCTATCTATGCGACCGTAGGAGGTGGAGAACTATGCAGTCTCATGGTTCTTCACTTCGGCTCCATTTTTGTCCATTTTTAATACATTGATCCAAGCTTCTTCTGCCTTCAATCCTAACATGAAACTTGCTCTGTTTTGAATCCCAAACATGGTTCATCAATGGTTACCTTAACGAGCAATCCCAATGCCTCTTTCACTTGCTTCGCCCTCGATTGCGTCATCTTTTCCCAGTCGACTATCAATGGATCTTTCCCCGGGCTTGATATTGGAATTGACTTTGTCGTTTGTGTCTTCTTGATCACATCATCCCCTTCCTCTTTGAAAGGATTCATCCTCAAATCTGAACCTGCATCAAAGAGAAAAAGATCATACACATTAAAAGTTGATGAAACGCTATACTCACTTGGAAGATCTAATGTGTATACGTTGTCATTGATCTTCTCAAGTACTTGAAACGGTCCAACTCCCCATGGCTGCAACTTTGATTTTCTCTGTTCTAGGAATCGGTCTTTCGTGAATTGCACCCAAACCCAATCTCTTGGTTTGAAGGTAACAATCTTCCTGCCCTTATTTTCTTGCTCGGCATAATGCTTGCTCTTCTTCTCGATTTGCTCCTGTACCTTTCCATGGAGTGACTTCACCAACTCGGCCTTCCTCTTCCAATCATGGTCCTATTCACTACTTTGGTTTGATCATCGGTTTGTGGGTGACAAGTTGTAGAAAATAATAATTTCGTGCCTAACTTATTCCACAAGACCCTCCAAAAGTGACTAAGAAATTTGACATCCCTATCTGACACAATACTCTTAGGTACTCCATGCAAGTGCATAATTTCTTTAAAGAACAAGTCTGCAATGTTAGTGGCATCATCAGTTTTATGACATGGAATGAAATGTGCCATTTTACTAAACATATCCACCACTACAAAAATCGAATCCCGTCCCTTTTTAGTCCTAGTTAAACCTAACACAAAATCCATAAAAAGTTTACCCAAGGTTCACTAGGCACTGGTAAAGGTGTGTAAAGTCCATGAGGTAGACCCTAGATTTAGCCTTTTTAGTCCTAGTTAAACATCGAATCCCGTCCCTTTTTAGTCCTAGTTAAACCTAACACAAAATCCATAAAAAGTTTACCCAAGGTTCACTAGGCACTGGTAAAGGTGTGTAAAGTCCATGAGGTAAGACCCTAGATTTAGCCTTTTTACAAGTTATGCATCGACTGCAAATCCGTTCCATATCAACTTTCATTTTAGGCCAATAAAAATGGTCAGTTAATATTTCTAAAGTCTTTGCTACCCCAAAGTAACCCATTAGTCCCCCACTATGTGCTTATCTAACAAACAACTCACACATAAAGCAATTAGGAACACATAATTTGTTTTCCCTTAAAAGTACACCTCATGCTTAAAGTACTTATCTACAACCTCTTTATGACATGAATTGTAAATGTTGGAAAAATCAAGATCATTATATACATGCCCTTGATGTACTCAAAACCAAGTAATTTCGCACTAAAAGTAGTTAGAATCATATACCTTCGCGACAATACATCTGCTACCACATTTTCCTTTCCTTATTCGTAATGGAAGACATATGAAAAAGTTTCTATGAATTTCATCCAGTGTGCATGTCATTTGTTCAACTCACTTTAACCACGCAAATGCTTCAACGATTCATGGTCGGTGTAAATTACGAACTCTTTTGGCCATAGGTAATGTTGCTATGTCTCCAAATCTCAAACAAGTGAATAGAGCTCCTTATCATATATAGGATAGTTGAGAGCTACACCACTTAAGTTTTCACTAAAGTAGGCGATCGGTCTCTTATCCAGCATTAAGAATGCTCCAATACCTATTCTTGATGCATCACACTCAATCTCAAAAGTTCTGTCAAAGTTAGGAAGTGCTAAAATCGGTGCTTTACACAACCTTTGAAACCCCACTTTTTTCTTGACAATTTCAGTTAGTGGCATGGTAATCGTGCTAAAATCTCTAACAAAACGCCTATAAAAACTAGCCAATCCATGAAAATTTCTAACTGCAGTTATGTTTTTAGGTGTTGGCCAATCCTTAATAGCCTTTATTTTCTCTTCATCTACCTCTACATCATTAGCACTCACTACAAAGCCTAGAAATTCAACCCTATCCATGCAAAATGTGCACTTTTTAAAATTGGCATAAAGTTGTTCTTTCCTCAAAACCACAAGCACACACCTCAAATGTCCTACATGCTCATCAAGATTCTTCCTATAGATCAAAATGTCATCAAAATAAACTACAACAAATTTTTCAATGAAAACACGGAAAACAGGTTTCATTAGTCGCATAAAAGTGCTTGGTGCATTTGTGAGCCCAAATGGTATGACTAACCATTCATACAACATGTATTTAGTTTTAAAAGTCGTCTTCCATTCATCATCCTCCCTCATGCAAATTTGATGATGCCCACTCCTAAGATCAATTTTGGTAAATATGTATACACCATGTAGCTCATCTAACATGTCATCTAGTCTAGGAATTGGGTGACGATATTTTATCGTGATGTTGTTGATGGCTCTGCAATCTACGCACATTCTCCAAGTTCCATCTTTCTTTGGCACCAGCAGTATAGGTACATCACATGGACTCATGCTTTCCCTCACATAACCCTTGCTCATCAATTCTTCAACTTGTCTCTGAAGCTCCTTTGTCTCCTCTGGATTACTCCAATAAGCTGGTCGGTTAAGAATGATAGCTCCAAGTATGAAGTCAATTTAGTGCTCAATTCTCCTAATGGGTGGTAACCCACTAGGCACGTCCTCCGAAAATACATCTTCAAATTCTTGCAACAAAGAAATAGCCAAACTAGGGAGGGATGTGTTAGGCTCCTCAAAGTTGAGGAGTTGTAAACTAATAGTATCATTTGTTGTCTCTCCATTATTGCCTTTTTCAATTCAATCCCTCTCACAAAGAAATTTTGTTTCGGCTTTTCTCTCCTCATGGAAGACTCTCTTTCTTTTCTCCCATGTGACCCCACTCACTTTTCCTCTCTATTAGCCACCTCATTATTTTCTCTCGATTCTTCTTCATTTTTCAGTTGAACTTGGTCCTCATATACTTGTGCTAATTTTAATGGCGCAAGAGTGATAGGCCTCCTATCTTTCACGAAACTATTCTTATTTTTATACCCATCATGCATTGCTTTCCTATCGTATTGTTATGGCCTTCCTAACTTGATATGCCCCGCATGCATAGGTACAACATCACACATCACCTTATCTTGATATTTATCAATGGAAAATTAATTAACACACTTTTTGTCACCTTGATTTTCCCACATTCATTCAACCATTGTAATCTATAGGGCTGAGGATGCTTTAATAATGTTAAACCCAATTTTTCCACCATATTAGTATTGGCCATGTTAGTACAACTTCCACCATCAATTATTACACTACATACCTTGCCATTGATGTGAGACCATGTGTGGAATACATTTTCTTGCTGTTGCTCCAAGTCACCCGCCTTGATTTGAGCGCTGAGAGCTCGCCTCGTGACCAACAGCTTACCACCAACCTCATACTCCGTGGTGTCTTCTTCATCAGCATCCTCCAATTCTGGCATATCTGTATAATCACTTTCAGTTTCCACTTCCCCTCTGTTTCGCGAAATCATTATTTTCTTGTTTGGGCATTGAGAAGCAATGTGCCCATTTCCCAAGCAACGAAAACATTTAATATCCTTATTTCTTGATGGCTGTGACTCCCTCTTTGGTATGGCCTTGCTAGCACCCTCTTCTTTGCCTCTTGGTACCTCAACTTTCTCTCTTGTAACAGTTCCATCTCCTTTGTTATTTTCCCACTTCGATTTTCAAGAAGGATTAGAACCCGAAGATCCAGATTGGTACATTGCTATCCGTCTTCACTTCAACTGCCTCTCTACCTTCATGGCCACATGTAGCAGATCTTCAATTTCCACATAGTGCTATAATTCCATTACATTTGCGATGTCCCTGTTCAACCCACTCAAAAATTAAGCCATAGTGGCTTCCCAATCTTCCTCCACATTTGCCCTAATCATTAGCATTTCCATCTTCTTATGGTAATCTTCCACATTCCTAGAGCTTTGATATAAATTTTGCAATTTTTTATGAAGTTCCCCTTAGTAGTGATTAGGTACAAATCTCTTTCGCATTATATTTTTCAATTCCTTCCATGTGTTGATAGGGTGTTCCCCACTTCTCCGCCTCGTAGTCACCACTTGATCCCACCAAGTAATAGCATAATTGGTGAACTCAAGGACTGCAATTTTCACATTTTTCTCCCCCGAGAAATTGTGACAATCGAGGATCAATTCAATTTTCTTCTCCCACTCCAAATATGCCTCTGGATCACTCCTCCCTTTGAATGAAAGAATGGTCATTTTAATGTTTCCCAAATTTCCATCCACCTCATCTCTATTAAAATTGCTACCTCTCATTTCTTGCCTAACTCTTCTATTTATTCACCTTCCAATCTCCGCATCCACAATCACATCTTCGTATCCCACTATCAACTTCAAGATCACTATGTTCCTCCATCCTAAGTTTTCGTCTACATTATCTCCATGCATTAGGACCTCCCCTTCGCACATTAGCAGGAATTGGATTTAGCCTTTCCAACCGTGTGTCCTGCCTATCCAATCATCCCTCATGTCTCCAAATATCCTCTCAATCCTCCATGCCGAGTCCTCCAGCTTTGTAATTTGATCATCAATCCTACCCGGATTTGATTCTTCCCTGTACCACATCCTAAATTTAATTTATTTTTTGCCTCACAAATTTCGTTCGAAATTCACTCAATATGGCTTTTTCCCTTGATTTTTCTCACCACTCTGCCTTTTACCACTCGTTGCTTTCATCAAGTGCCCCAAAAGAACAATTTGGAACTCAATCAAAATTTTAATCAGTAAGCCCAAGGAATTTAGAATAACTTGGTTACTAGACAAAACAAAGAAATTGACTCAAGAACACAAAATAGAAGAATAAATTGGCTGGAGAATAAAACTAGACACAAATAATAAAACGAGCTAATAAAACTGGTAAATTCCCAAGTTCAATAACAATTATAACAATTTTTTTTAAGTTCAAATTTTTTTTTGGATTTTTTATACTGTACGGATGAAGAGTGTCATACGATGAACAATAATTTTTTTTACTCCTGGGATAGAAAAATCAACAACGATGCTAACGCAATAAACGAAAGTTGATTTGTATGCAAATTGAATCCAAAAACAACATTTGAAATTTTTTTAGGAATTTTTTTGGATCAACAACTCAAAATTAATGACTGGCTCAAATAACACCAAGAACAAAAACAAAGGAAATGAAAAGATAACCGACTCAATAAGAATTTAAAAGGGATATAACCTTGGATTAGAGCCTAAACTCTGATACCAATTGATATGAACCTGCATAATCAATCACTACTAAACCTACAATCAAGATTGAAATCGTCCCCAGAAAAGCTAAAGCAAGATTTTGGATTAAATTCAATAAATTTGGAGCCAAGCAACCCGAATCGTCGGCAATGTACGGACCTCTTGATTACGCAAAAATATGTGAATCTTACCCCATTGATTGGAACGCCTCAAGATTTAATCTTGATAAGTTCGTAGATTGTCCAATTGAACAACACGGGAAGAAAGCAATAAAAGCCTCTCAATAATAATAATAATGTCAAAAGTTCTAATATAATGAATAATAATGAGTATTTATACTAAAACCCTAAGATATGGTAAAAATGTGCATAATATCCAAAATATGCTAAAATTATGGAAAGAAACAAATTCTATCAAAAAAGGAAAATTCGCAAAATTTGGAAAAATCCTTCCTGAAATAGACCCATGCGGTCGCATGGTTTAATTCCATGTAGCCGCATGGAACATCCAAGTTCAGCTGGTTGATGCCCTGCCCCTATCTGTGTGACCCCAAGAGGTGGAGAACTATGCGGTTGCATGGTTCTTTACTTCCGCTCCGTTTTTGTCCACTTTTAATACATTGATCCAAACTTCTTCGACCTTCGATCTCGACATGAAACTTGCTCCATTTTGAATCTTGAACATGGTTTCATCAATGGTTGCCTTGACGAGCAATCTCAACGCCTCTTTCACTCGCTTCACCCTCAATCGCGTCATCGGTTCCCAATCGACTATCAATGGATCTTTCCTCGAGCTTGATGTTGGACTTGACTTTGTCGCTTGTGTCTCCTGGATCACATCACTGTTATAGGACATCTTCAGTTCGAAGTAAAACATACATTTATTGGTAGCACTTCCTCAAGTGCTCAATGTTCC